ATTCTCTCTCTCTCTCTCTCTATATATATATATATATATATATATCGTACTATAAAATTTATCCCCCCAAAGCCTAAAAGAAAATAATCAATAAACTTACAAATATTATAGTATAAACATAAATGTTTCATGAATAAAAATAAAATTATTTTCAAATAATTAAATAATATATGATAATTTTGAGACATGTGACAAAACACTGATTACTATTCACAAATATATACACATATATATATAAATTATATATATATAATAATAACAAATATATATATATATACGATTAACATATATACATATACGGTTCGATTTCACGCTCGATTGTGCGGTGAGACTTAGGTAGGTTTCATGTTACACGTGTAGTAACACTTACGCTGTATAACAAGATATACACAAACAAAAAATAATTCAAATCAATTATTTTTGTTTTTTTTCCAACTTTAGTCATCTCTTGGACTTTTATGTGATGTAAGGCCCCACTATTTTTATTTATTTTTTAATTAACGCGTATAGCACGTTAAAAGTCCTCATTGACTTATCACAAATACTCCAAAATATAGAAATTTCTAGTAAATTTCCCCTTAATTAATTCCTTCAATCCTCAACCAAAAAAAAAAAAGAAGAAATTTAGCAAATCTTAGTGTACATGAGATGTAAAAAATCCAAGAAAATGATTCCAATTTTCTTGTTTTTACACTAAGATACTCTATGCATCTTCTCATGAAAATTCAAGAAAAAAGGTACCATTTTTTTTTCATAGTTTCTTGAAAATCTTGAAGTATTGTAGAATCCAAGAAAAAGGGTCATAAGATTCTTGAAAATTTTAAGGTATTATTGTTACCTTAAAAGGTGTTGTTGTGTTTATGTTTCTTCCTTGTTGTTTTGATTTGATGGCTTTTTTTAATAGAAAGATGTTAGAAGAACATATATTTGATGTACCAAAAAGTGTTAAATGTTTGAGTTGTACATCATACGTTTGTACAAATGATTGTGGTGATACATATGTTCCAAGTGATGGTCCATTTTTTCCTCCACCTCCTCCTCCTTATGTGACAAGTGAAAAATACCATATGCCCTTTTATTTCATCATAATGCTTTGTGTATTTGGGGCTTTTTTTATGTTCATATGTTATATGATTATACTTAGGAGGAGTAGGTCAAATTCAAGACCAAATAATGTTTCACAATTTGATGAGACTAG